CATAACAGCTCAAATCACCCTTACACGCACAAAATGGCTGCATTTCACTCTTTTATACACAGACTTCTTAATACGCCACTCTCAACAGAAAATTACAACAAAGAACTTAATATCTTTAAACAAATTGCACTGAACAACGGCTACAATCCGTCTATTATAGATAAAATTATAAATAAAAAACAAATCTATACAACAGTAAACTCTATTTATCCGAAACCTAATACAGAACACGAACAATTTAAAACAATTACATACATAGGAGAACCTAGTGAAAAAGTTTCAAATCATTTGTCGAAATGTGGTTTAAAAATAGCTTTCAGAACTAACAACACAATAGGAAAATATTTAAAAAACAATAAATCGAAATGTCCAAAATCTCAAAAATCCGGTGTCTACAGGTTGAAATGTGGATCTTGTCCTAAAATTTAATTTGGACAAACAGGTAGATCCTTCAAGAAACGCATTAACGAACATATAAGAGCGTTTAAAAACAATAGTCTAGATTCTAATTATGCTACACACTTAAACACAGAAAAACACATTTTTGATGACAATTTTGATATTTTACATACAGCCACAAAAAGTAGAAAATTAAATTTATTGGAAGCCATGGAGATTAACAAAATGAGACATTCAAATGTATTGCTTAATGACGAATTAGATTTAAATACCCATCCTTTATTGAACTTAAATTCTCACAACATTAATTGAGGTTTTATGGGCATTTTTCGGTAGGTAGTTTGTAAATATTACATTTGATTAAAACACGGTGTTGTCCAAACAATTGTCATGTCAAAATATATAATTTCTTGAAAATCTGAACATTTAGTTCTTATTTATTTTGAAAAATTGATTTTCATCAAGTAAAAGCCACGTCAGTTCAATTGTTGAAAATATATTTTGTATGCGCAACTTTTAAATAGCCCCAAGGCAACTACGTTTACCACTTCAAAGAAACATTGTTTCTCGTCTCGTCTGAAAAACAAATATAATTTTTATGTATTCAGTTATGTCCTTATGTATAGCGATTTCAAATGTTTAAATGTGACAAATATTTTATTTTTAAATAACAACAATATTGAAAAATATAATTTAAAAAATTACATATTACACATATTATTTCCAAAGTGCTTTAAGCACTTAAACATTTAAAATTTTTATTTTCTGCTTCTCTCTGTCTTTAGTCCATTTCCCTAAGAAGGGATTAGTGACTATGATGCTCTTGAAACAGTGCTTATGGTATTGTGCCATTCCGTTTTATTCTGAGCCATGATTACGGTTTCATGAAGGCCATGGCAGATAAGATCCTTGGTTTGATCTATCTATCTTTCCTTCGACTATTAGTAGTTGCAGCGAGTCCGTTCTTCTTGCAATATGGCCAATGAATGTTAGAAAGCTTCGATATATCGTCTTTGACAGATTTAGTTCAGTATTTAGTTCTTGAAGAACGGGCTCATTTGTACGGTGGGCCGTCCAGGGTATCCGTAACAGCCGTCTGTACGCCCATATTTCAAAGGCATCGCTCTTCTTGATCGTCCAGGTTTCAGCTCCATAAGTGGCAATCCGGAACACAAGTGAATTCAACAATCTTAGTTTGCTGTTTTTAGTGATGGCTGTATCTCTCCAGGTCTTACTTAACTTAGTTACGGCTGTTCGAGCTAGTGCAATTCTTCGCTTTATTTCACCTTCACATGCACCGCTATTGTCAATTAAGGATCCCAAGTACAGGTACTTATTCACCACATTGAACTCAGCTACGTTTTTTATGTGGGGTTGGTTCTGGTTTTGCCGATCTACAATCATGATATTAGTTTTGTTTGGATTTAATTTCAATCCAAATTCTGCACTGGTTTCCTGGAGACGGTGCATAATAAATTCCATTTCTTCTACACTAGATGTTATAATTAGTGTGTCGTCGGCATATCTCAGATTGTTGATTTTTCTTCCCTCTACAGATATGCCACCCTGCCAGTTATCCAGAATGTCCCGCATTTGTATTCGGTGTATATGTTGAACAGTAAGGGCGAGAGAACACATCCTTGTCTGACAACCTTCATCGCTTGAAACCTGTTTGATGTGACATCGTTGATTCTTAACAGACCGTAATTATGTTCATAGAGCTGTCGGATAAGTATTATTAAGTGGTCAGGGACCCCCATTTCTTTGAGCATTTGCCACAGTTTTCTACATTTTACTAAGTCGAAGGCCTTGGAGTAGTCGACAAAGCAGAGGTACATTGTTCTGTTAAATTCTCTAGCTTTCTCAATTAGTTGTCGTACGTTTCCTATTTGTTCTCTCGTACCCTTACCCGGCATAAAGTCGGTTTGTTCTTCTGCAATCTGGGGTAGTAGATATGGTCTAAGTCTGTTATTAATGATCTGTAGGAGAATTTTGCATGCATGGGATACTGCTTAGGGATTCTCTTATTCCTCGTGTCAAATTTAAAATTATTTTAAAGTATACAGGGTGACTCAAAAAATCGCGACGAATAAAACATTCATATTTTTAATGCAACAACCATTTTTTAAATTCAGTTTGAAATTCGTTTTGAAATTCTCGGACTTTTTCATGGACAATAATAAATACCAAAATTTAATAGTTTTTCCAAAATTTTAATTTTTCTAAAAAATACTAGGATTCGTTATTCTCCTACATATCTTCTGTTCGCGGATTCACATATACACGATCTTTAACATATCCCCACAAAATGAAATCTAGTGGGGTTTAGCTATAAAATCGAGAGGACCATTCAATAAATCCACCTCTTCCTATCCATTTCTGTGGTTAATGATGATTTAAAAACAAACGACAAACTTTGAGACCACAAAAATTTGGGTCCGCTTCTGTTGTTTCATTTATAAACATGCAGAAGTTTACTCTTTGTTCAAAATCAACTTCTGGGTGTAGTTGCACTTAACGGTACCTGCTTGAAGGCTACTGACCAGTGGAATATTTTGAATTTGAAGGAAAATTTCCAATTTCATTTCTTCATTGATAGCATTCCAGTTTGCTATTCTCTGCTTTTCATATTCCACACTACCCCCAACCAACCAACCAACCATTGGTGTACTGTGCCTTGTAAAGTTTTACTGACCTAAAAGAATGTTTTTCCGCATCATCCAGTATGTAAATCACATCAATTAAATTCAGCTTTAGTTTTTTTAATCTACTGACACCTCCATATATTTTTTGTGTATTTCTTTACTCAGTTGTCAGGTGGAAATGTTATAGCAATAGTCTTAGACAGAGAGCACGGTAAACATTGGATAAGTTAAAATAAATCGTAAAGTATTAAAAACAAGTATATGACATACATGCCATTTAACAAAATCGAAATTTTTGAATTTAAAATGATCCAAACATATGCGTGTATTTTGAACACATGCTACAATTCAAATTCCGTTCATTCCTAATATCAAAAATAATGAAAACTAGTATTTTTTTAATTAAGTATTATTTTAAATTAAAATATTGGAAAAGTTATTATATTGAAGAATTTTAAAACGAATTCAAAAGAAAATTTAACAATAGCGTGTTTCATTTTAAAAAATATACGTTCTTTTAGACACCCTGTATACTTTAGAATAATTTTTACAACTTACTCTAAAATAATGAACTTTACTAAATCGTTAATTCAACCTGTATATTCGGTCGATACTATTAATTTTTTTAACAATAGTTTTATTTATTATAATTTATTTTCTTACCTTATATGAGCACATAATTTCTCCATTGGAGTGATAGAATCTCGAACGGTGGCATTTTGTCTTATCAACTCAGATGAAATTTTATTTAAAATATAATTGAATTTCGAAAGTGTGGAAAAAATTTAATTTCATCCTCCAAAAGTTCTTTATTTAAGTTTTCCTTTTTTTTTAGTCTTCTTCGTCCAAACATGTTGCAATAGCAGCCAATTCACTAATCGAAAATTTTTTAAACATCTTAGATCTTAGATCAGTTTACAACAAAAAAGGACAAAATACTGTCAAAAAATCTTGACCGCAAGCGTACTATGACATGAGTAGAGTGTGGTCCATTTAATTGGTATGAAAATTTTTAAAAATGTATATTATTTGCTTCATTTTGAGAAAAATGAATTTTTCCATTTTTTGCGGAAAAAACAGGTTCTATGGAAAAACGTGTTTTTTTTTTATTTTAAAAGGAAAAAAATTATCCCGGACCCACGAAAGTGGTTAATATTTAATGCTATGGCGAAAATATGTTATACAATGTGGTCACAAACGACCAGTAAAAACATGTTATTTCTAATTTAAAAACTGTTTTTTTAATGGAAGACATTCCGTACCATGTCCTAAATATAGCTTTGATTACAAAAATTGTTAGTTTAGAAGTTATTTCCTGCAATAACTCGTGTATTTTTAACATTAATTACATAAATTCTATATAAAATCAACAAGTAATATAGAACTTCAATTTCATTTCATAGGTTTCAATTGCTGCAATAGCATTTCTAAGTAAGTATTACTTTTACAAGATATCCATGGAAAAAAAGAACTAATAAAATTGTTGCCTGGACGGAAATACACAAGTTTTTATTTGAAGTTTAAGAGATGCATCCCGGATATTTATAAAACTAGTGTTCAAGGGACCTTAAAATTTCATAACTACCAGCAATTCAAATTTTTGCCAGAAATGATATCAACAGGACTTTCTAACAACACATTTTCTGATGGCCATTCGTGACCAGCCTGGACTTCCATGGATTCATAATAAAAATTCCCAATTTTAGTTCTCAAGTGTAAAAAAACACATTTTCCCAAAGACCTATTTTTTCGCAAAAAAATGCGTTCCGTTTTAAAAAAATGAAGTTGGTTACTGCTCTGCCGCAAGGGAACATCCTGTATACATAAAAATACCATAAACAACATATATACTTAGTGACAAACACTTTTTGTAGTTAACTTTTCCTCCTCAGTGTCGTACTTATCGTGATCGCTCTGTTCGCCGATGGTCACGAACGAAACAATTTCCGAAATTACCTTGATTAATAATAAACAACATGTACGTGACACTGAGCGCCAATCCCCTCCGTCGTTCGTTCAGCATTTTCCGAATTCTTTCGACAAGAGTGCGTGCAAAAACCTCGACGCGTTACCGTTAAAAACGCTCAGGAAGTTCGCGCGGGACTTTATCCTGTGGGAGCATCGGGTTGTCATGTCAAAGGACGCGCGTTCACTGGACACCGCGAAGAAGCGACAGGATATTCGTCGGGAGTCTGCGCCTGTCGGTCACATGGTGCGAATTCTTTCGGATGGCCATTCGAAGTTCACCTGTGCGAATAGGAATTTTACGCCGGAAGTTCCGGCCTTTTATGTAAGAGTGGATTTTAATTATTCAAACTCGGAAAGTAAAGTTTCGACGTGGTAGCGTCGAAATCGCCGTCGTTTTTGAGGCGATTATTCGGACCGCGCGGAGGGTTGAATACGAACGGTTTGCTTAACTCGGCGTGCGTTACCATGGAACTCTGGCGCGTTATCCGCGTTAAATACCTAATTACGGCTTTTATTAGACTACGCGCGTTGAGAGCTTTGAGAGTTTACTTAACGATAATAGCGATTTAACCGCGAAAGCGCTCCAGACTGTTTTCTTACCGGGTTCCGGTTTATTCAATCTGGAGGTGTGCGCCGCGTCGCACAGTGCCTATTGGAACAGGTTTAATCAACAAACAAAAAAGAATTTAGTTGGGGTTCTTCTTCTTCTCATGCCTTATCGGTTTCAGACGTTGGCGATCGTCATCGTTATTCGAACTTTATTGGTGGCACATCTAAATAGCTCGGTGGAGGTGGCACCATACGATTTGCGAAGGTTTGCTAAGATTCTACTTCTTCCAGGGCCTCTTTTTCCTTCCACTTTTGCCCCGCACGATATTTTGTAATTGGCGATATTTATTGTCTTTTCTCATGACGTGACGTTATTTGTTGTGTGATTAGTCCAAGGTATCTTCAGGATTCTTCTGCAAATCCACATTTCAGAGGCATTCGTTAACTCTCCACGCTATACCGTATAGATGTAGCAGTTTAATATTCGTTTTTTCAGCTCCACAGAATAATCCCATCCTTCAGACAGAGTGCTTAGGGTTGGTAAAAAAAAAACGATTTTTTTTGAGATCTGATACACAAAAACCGGTTGCTTGTTACCCCTAGAAAGTGGGAAGATTACAGTATTGCATTTTTGGATTTATATATATATATATATATATATATATATATATATATATATATATATATATATATATATATATATATATATATATATATATATATATATATATATATATATATATATATATATATATATATAATGCGATATTCACCATGTTTCCTATTAGACGTTTATGGGGAATGTCTAAGAGTAAAAAACTAAAATGTTATGAGCTACAATATGAGCTACCTACGCAAAATATTTTTGATCGTGTGGTGTTGCCAGATGTACTCGTAACTTATATCAACTTTCATTTTTTAAATAGAACAACTTGCATATTATTACTACCATCTTGAACATTTTCGAAGATAAAAACTACTTTTTAAGAAATTTGGCAACAAACAACCCGATATAAAATATTAATTTTAAAAGTGTTTAGCTGTACGGCATGCGAAAAAAATATTACATAAAAAAGTTCTAGAACTTTCCGCAGAATCCAAAAATGTAATAATATATAGTATGTTCCATTTTAAAAACGAAAGTTGGTATACGTTACGAGTAAACCTGGCGACACCGCATTGCCAATTTTTTTTATGTATTATATTTCAGGTTTTTACAATAAGTCGTTCTCCATAAAAGTCTAATAGGACACTCACCCTATGACTATGATCCTCAATTGAAACTAAAGTAAAATTATAAAATATCGCTATAAATTTAATTGGGAAGAAGTATACCCCCAAATAAATGTTGAAAAATAATTTGGAAACTGTCATTTTATCAAAGTAAACGCCAATTTTTATGAATGTCGTGAAAACTCGCCAATTTAATGAATAAATTGAGAATATTTATTTAAAACTCTGAATATAAGTACCCATTAGGATTCCATTGCAAATATCTTCAACATGGTTCGAATAATCGGTAAACCACCAGAGACCTTTTTTGTAGAGCATTAAATTATCTATAAGAATAATTGAAAACATTTCACGATAATTATTTTTCAGTCAATAACAAAATTCAGAAAAAAAAGTTATATTTCTTTAAATACCTCAAATATCTTTGAAATGATTCGATTTATAGAAAAAGTATGAGACCATTTTTGTAGAGCTTTCAATTTCCTATAAAAATTAGTAATAAAATTCGCTTAATGATTTATTGGTGAGAACATATGATTCTTTATATATGATACTAATTCGGAAACGCAAAACTGTAATGTGCATAATCTTCTCCGTTATGAGAAATGTATCGTCTTTCTTGGTCAAGCCGGAACCTTTTCACTCCACCCTCGCACTTGGTGACTCGATGACAGACTAAATTGCGGTGCTGTGGGGTAATTTTTCATTCTACATGTTATGTGCTATTTTTAAATAGCAAATACAAGCAATAAAAATTATTGCTAAAATTGGCTATCGTGATCATTGTCAGCCATGGTTTATAAACTCGTGACCCAAAGGCGCTTCACTACACTTGTTGCCTTATCTTCTTATTTTTCCAGGCTAGTGGTAAGGAAATTAAAGTACAAAATACATGGTGTCCAAATATTGTGTCAAAATAATATCTCGTTTGTTATTTGTTTAAGAAAAAAATGTTAAGGTTATAGATAAGATTAAACGAAACAATTTGAAATTATTTTCAAATATACATTATTATTGATGTATTGTTATTGTGGTTGCGGATTTATGGCCATTTTTCGTCAAAATATTCTGTGTAACAGCTGTAATCTTATTATGGCAACAATTTTATAAAGTGGTACAATCATTTATCCTTAGTTCGAATCGGTTATACAGGGTCAGTCGAAAGAAAAAATATTAATTTTCCTGAAAGAAATAAATGGAACACCGTGCATATTGTACTACCATTAATTACTCCTATTAATGCTTTTTCAATTTTATTACGCGTTCTCAATACCTAAACTTGGTATTTTTGAGGTATACATTGAGGTATACGAAGGACATACTGAACATTTTTATACCGTGAGAAATTATCACAAAGATTGAGAATAAAATAAATATTACCTGAACTTAAAAAATCTACAAAGACCAATTAAGTATTATTCTTTCCGATAGTAATAACAATATTAATAATAATAATAACAATAATAATAAAAGAACGAAAATAAAAATTACAATATGAATTTGCACGGAAAACTTAAGTTTGTATAGCCAACATATATTAGCACTTAAAGAAGCGATCTGAAAACATTATTTTATGGTTTAATAATATTTTGGGATTTAATAATGGAATTAATGGAAAGAAGAGAAACATTTTTTTATAAAAATTTCAAACCAAACTATTTATTTTTATTTTTCTTGGCTTATTGCGATTTTTTTGTCATAATTTAAAATGTGTACGACTCAAAAAATAAAGCATTAATATGAGTAATTAATAGAAGTATGATATACGGGGTGTTCCGTTTAATTTTTTAACGAATTTTTTTATTTTTCATTTTGACTCACCCTGCATAATAATAAAACACTCTGCCTAGACCATGAAATTCAATGATATCCAGAGTGTTCGATTTAAAATATATAATTTTGGTTATTTCGAATCGCTCCTTTTTCATAGCATTATTCCGTATCGTACGAAATTCAATGTAATATAAATTTTTAATTATTGTGACTGCGCCGCCACAGTGCAGGAACTCGCAGTGAGGGCTGAGATACTGGACAATCTATTTATCTTTAAAGTAGATATACAAAGAGAAGTCAGATGAACATAACCTCAAAACCTTGTAATCGCTACCCTCGCCCCCTCTTCGCCCCTCAACTCTCACCCCCTATCCCCTACCACAACCCTCACCCCCTTGCCCCCTCTCTCAACCATCACACCCCACACCCCCTCAACACTCACACACCCCACCCCCTCATCCCTCACACGTTGTTTTATCGGGATTTAAAAACAAACTGCTGCTGTTAAACCAGTTGCTGAAGTTGCTCAACACATCGTTTATTTTGCAATAAAAGATGAATTTCAAAAAGTAGTTTCTACATCATTGATGCAGAATAGCATGAATACGAGTTTATCCCGCTAGGAACGATATCTGCAATTCCAGATGTTGACGACATCCCCACCAGAGTGCGGCCATCAATATTGAGAAAAGCCCCTTCCGTTCAGGATAGGTCAGGCAAGAGATGACCATTTATAATGTAAATTTCCAATGGCAGGCATCATTAAACAATGTGGACAACTTAAAGGTTATATCGGAAAATTCCGCATTTTAGTTTTTAAGACACCTCGAATAATTCCTAAATTTATATATAACGGCGTTACTGCATGTAGTTTATTAGAATAACAAATATAATAATAACTATACTTAAATAAGATCAAGCAAATAAAATCTTAAGAAGAGTTCTTCACCCAACCCCACCCAAAAGTTTAATGAGATGTAATTTAGAAACGCTTTCCAATTTTTGTGGTTAAGGTAAGTGATAAGGGCAATTCTTTTTCGAGTTCAACCGGAAATTGCTCACAACCTGCTTATTTCAAAGCGATAAGGTGTGCAATGTCCTATACCGATTTCCAACTAGTTTTGATATATTTATCCTTAAAAAAGGGCCTATATAAAGTTCAGTTAGCCACTTTTGTTTTTTTACTAACTCCAATAAGACCCCGTCGTACTTGCTTGATAATCTTTTCAGAGGAAATGATATTCATAATCGAGACACCCGTCATTGTTTAATATATTGCGTTCCTAGACACACTTTCCAGAGATCATTTAGCTATAACGCAGTTAAATTATTTAGTGAAATTCCCAATGTTATAATAAAGTCCTTCAAAAAAGCGTTATTATTGTTTATTAGACCCGCCCGTAACTAGGAAAAGTGTATGCGTTAATGACGGACGTCTATTTCTTGTGTTTATGATGTATGTACTTGTGTGTATTTTGTTGACAATTATGGTGTTGGTGCTGTTGTACTTGTGGTTACATGAAAGAGCGCAAATTGCGAAT